ATCTAATCTATTATCTCTCTCTCCCTCTCTTAATCTATTATCTTTCTTCTCTATCTATCTATCTATCTATCTATCTATCTATCTATCTATCTATCTTTCATCTATATATCTAATCTATTATCTCTCTCTCCCTCTCTTAATCTATTATCTTTCTTCTCTATCTATCTATCTATCTATCTATCTATCTATCTATCTATCTATCTTTCATCTATATATCTAATCTATTATCTCTCTCTCCCTCTCTTAATCTATTATCTTTCTTCTCTATCTATCTATCTATCTATCTATCTATCTATCTTTCATCTATATATCTAATCTATTATCTCTCTCTCCCTCTCTTAATCTATTATCTTTCTCATCTATCTCCCTCCCTCTCTCCCTCTCCCTCTCCCTCTCTCTGCTTGAAAAATGTGGGGTTTTATTTTTGTAAGGTGCCCAGAATACCAATAAAGGAGAATATTTGCAGCCAAGGATTGAAATGTGGGTTCCTAACATCATCAGTGCTAGAAGGGACTGACAGCAAACCCCACTCCCTTCTAGCACTGATGGTGTTCCTTAGTTGGGTAATGAAACACGTGCAAGGAAACAACCAAGCTCAGAGACCACCAAGGACCCCAGATCTTGGGGTGAGTTGAGCGGCCATGTAAATTTCCTTAAATAATAAGACAGTTTAGATGAATAGAGTCGCCATGGCGAATAGGCGGCGATACAAATCTAATAAATAAACGATGATGCACCTACCAGAGTTAAAACAGTTGCGCTTCTTCCTTCTCTCTCTCTCGCAGGCACTCACGGAAACGATGGGAACGTTTCGTCCACAGTGAGAACCAGCACTTGGTCAGCCCCGAAGCCTTAGATTTCTTGGACAAGTTGTTGCGATACGATCACCAGTCCAGACTGACCGCCAGAGAAGCCATGGAGCACCCTTACTTCTGTGAGTCTGGTTCTCGGGAAGGCCAAGTCAAGCTGGCAGGATGAAAACCCATCAGGAAACCTGCAGCTTGAAACAGCTGATCGTCGGGGAGGCTGATCCAACCGACAGTCAGCTGCTTGGGCTAAGCGGGCTGTGCTGAAGCTGAAACCAGGTTGTTTGCCGCAAGGAGGCAAATGGCTGGGAGGCAGAGGCTAAAGGGTGGGGGCTGGCGGGAGGGTGGGGCTTTGGCAACGTTAGCTGTGTTAAGACGCACAGACGTTTCCATCCACTTGGGAAAATGCGTCATATACACCGAAAAAATACGGTAAATGTTCCCTTTTATTAGGAGCACCGGCAAAAGGTCTCTCTCTGTCTACGCAGGCTAACAAGTCTGTCCAGCAGGGAGATGAAAAGTTGTCTTCCGCATCTATTCATCTCCACCCCCTGCCTTTTATCCCCAGAGCTAGGGTGGGGCTTCGCTAGCAGCGGTGGCTCCTCCGTCCCAAGGACTGGCCCATAGATTTCCACTGCTCTCCTCTCCTCTGCCTTCTGCTCATCCATGTGTCAGGCACTGGACCCAGCTGTACCTCCTCTTCCTCATCAGCCACTTCCAGTCCTGGGGACTGTTGACTCCCAATCTGAGGGCTGACGGATGGCTTAGGCTCCGCCTCAGTGTCACTCTCTCTCTCTCTCTCTCAGCCAAATCCATTCCCTCTTCCCCCCTCGGAGCTCTCAAGTTGTCCTGATGTTGGCCCTGATTCCCACACCATCACTTCCTCCTCTGATTTGGCTGCTGGAGGGGCCCGCGGCCAACAGGCCGTAACAGTTGCCGAGCTGGCGGGGGAATTCTGGTGTCAACTCATAAAACATTTTGTATACACGTTTTATAGTTGACTAAAGAAAGAAGGGGGGGGGAGAGTTTCAAAGATCAGGTGGCAGTGTGGAATCGAAAGTACATTCCATTCATATTTTCTTCAAAGACTGATTAGATGACTGAAGCTTCTGACGTGCAAAAATCTAATTGGAGAACATGATTGATGACTCTTGGCTATGGACATTTTTCATTGGATGATACGCCCAGAGGGGTGGGGGGGGGAGCAGGATCAAGGGTGACAGTGAATTACGTATCTCTGAGTTGGCATTAATGCCGGAATGTTAACTTCTAATTTTTTTAGTTTTGGGAGTGTGGCTTGAAGCTCATGATTTAATTGGAGTAACTGCCGGAATCCTGACATCTGGGAGTTGAAGTCCACATATCTTAAAAATTGCCAAGGTTAGGAAAAAAATAGGAGTTGAGGCCCTCTAAATGTATTAAACTACAGGATTGTTAGTCGGTGGGTTGGCTAAGGATGTTGGCATTTGTAGTCCCTCATGTTTGGAGGGTTCTGGAAGGCTGCACGAAATACAGATAGTCCTTGTCTTAACAGTTCATTCAGTGACAGTTCAAAGTTACAACAGCACTGCAAAGAATGACTTATGACAATTTTTCACACTTACGACCTTGGTCAGGTGATCAAAATTCAGATTTTTTTTGGCACCAAGACTCACATTTATGACGGTTGCAGTCTCCTGGGGTCACATGATTCCCCCTTTTGCGACCACCTTGTTAAGCCTGGATTCCCCAACGGGTGTTAAGGAAAACAAACTAAACAGAACGTGCAGCGAAGTCAGATAGGAAGACAGGTAATTGTGTGAGATAAGTTTTCTAGTTAACACGCAGTAAAAATACAGATACGCTTGTGTTATCAAAAATATTGTTTATTCCATTTAAGAATTATAGCATAGTCAAATGTAACGGTCCATTAGTCATATATCAATTTCAGTCAAGTCTTGTCGGGGATACTCTATTTGCAAAGTCCGTGTTGAATAGCCAATGTCAGTTCACTTACAATAAATCAGTCCAATCTTTATCTTCTCTCCGTTGAGAAATATCAACACTCCGTTTTCTCTCCCCGTTCCAGCAAAAACGCAGTCATCAATCCTTCCAGTAATTAGGGATCTTCAAGCCAGAGAGAGCGAGCTACAATTGCCTCGCTTCTTATATAGTGCTTTTACAACCACACCCTTAATTACATTCTTGCAGTTAAAGTTACACACACTTTAACTAACAAACCATGATACCATATTTATTATTTTACCAGTTAGGGTAAACAATGTTATCCCTAACACACCTAAACCAGCAAAGTCCACGGGGAAGCCAGATTCACTCAACAAACGGGTTTCTAAACTGATGACCTGCAGCGATCCACTTAACAACTGTGGCTAGGAAAGGTCATAATATGGGGGGGGGGGGGCAGAGCTCACTTGACAAACGCCTGAAGCCCATGCCGGGGGTCATCGTCTTGTCTTCCCCGTCTTTTCAGACCCAATTGTGAAGGACCAGGCTCGGATGAATTCGGCCAGCCTTCCAGGGAGCAGCACACCTGTGAGCAGCGCTGGGATGCTGTCAGGTGAGTCCCTCTGGGATGCTGTGGTAGGGAGCAGCCTGGTTCTCCCGAAAGCCATTCTGTCGTGCTGCTTGGGCTCCCCGACAGGGCAAGCCACTGCGTATAAACCACCCCACTTCCCTTCTAGCAATGATAATGTTCCCTAGTTGGGTCATGAAATGTCTGTAAGGAAACAGTCAAGTTCAGAGAGCACCAGCAACCTCAGTCTCCTCCTCTTCCTCTTCCTCCTTCTATTCTCCTCTTCTACCATTGATGATGTTCCCTAGTTGGGTCATGAAATGTCTGCAAGGAAACAAGCTCAGAGAACACCAGGGACCCCAATCCCTTCCTTCCATCCTTCCTTCCTCCCTCCCGTAATGACATTCCCTAGTTGGGTCATAAAATGTTTGCAAGGAAACCACGTTCAGAGAATACCAGGGACCCCAATGTCCTCTCCTTCCTTTCCTTCCTTTCCTTCTTTTCTTTCCTTCTTTTCTTTCCTTCTTTTCTTTCCTTCCTTCCTTCCTTCCTTTCCTTCCTTCCTTCCTTCCTTCCTTCCTTCCTTCCTTCCTTCCTTCCTTCCTTCCTTCCTTCCTCCCTCCCTCCCTCCCTCCCTTCCTTCCTTCTATGATAACCTGGGGCGTGGCACAAAGGCAACACAGTTAGAGAATAAGTCTGGATCCCTTTATTAGCTCCAACTTTGCTTCCAGTGTTCCGGTTACCATCCGGTCTGGAGAAAAACTCTCCTCCGAACCTGCAACAGCCTTTGGCTGCAGATATTCCAATTCAAACGTTTTAAACT